ACCCACCTCCCCCACGCACGCACGGACTTCTGGTCTTAATTGTACTGGCACGTGCCACAACATTCCACCAGCATCTGCCAGGTGTGACGTCAGCAAGATGGCGGAGAACCTGGACTGATGGATCGGTCAAGTAATCCCTGAAGCTGAAAGGTAGTCCTCTGCGGGTCAGAGTTCATTCAGCCGGAGGGAAGGGAGTGAGTCGGTGCATAGACTGTAAATCAAGACTGTTGCCGCGAATTCCTTCCCCCTGACACCTCAGAGCTACTAGCAACCCCCGACTCCCCCACGTCCAAGCACTGCATTCATTCATACATATTGTGCCGTTACCAGGTGAAAGGTTCGCCCCTCCATTCATCTACCAGATCTGTGTGGCGTCTTTCTCCGGTAAACAAGCCGTCAAACTGACAATTAGACCAACATATAGTCCCTGAAATAAACATATTTAAAAGAAAAAAGCAGCTGTTAAATTATAGATATAAAATATAATAAGAAGGAGCCCAGAGACGTTCTCCATTTTCAGGTACTGCAGTAATGTAGCCTTGCCAAAAATTATAGACTTGCATGGGCTGTATTGGATATATTTGTTTCAGGGACTTTATGACAGACTATGGGACTCGACGGTCACAGTCCCTCAACCACACGGTGCCCCCCTCCGCCCAGCCCGTACTGTAATGCTTCAGCTCGAAATGAAGCAAGTCTAGATTAACTAAGGTTCAGGATCTCCACCTCACTGGGGCTCCTTTTCAGTTGTTTCTATCATAATTATATACTTTCCGAGACTAAACGTCAGTCTGGGGCCTCCAGTGTTCACGCTTCATCAGATGCCATTTGACGAGGTGTTTATCAGCTAATGTTTTGGCTGAACGCCCTGCCAGAAATACATGGCATACTTGCCACATGCGTACAATACATGACAGTGGTGGATGTTGTTGTCATGTGTGAGTCATATTCTAGACTATTTGATATTCGGGGTTGTGGGGTGCCTGTCGTTGATTAGAAAGAATAAATTGTCACCGAAAATTCTTGAAAAAACACATTATGCTTCCGATTGGTAAAGAGAGTGAAATTGCCTGTCTTTGCAACAGAATTACATGGTTGTAAGGGCATTTTCTTTTCTTTTTTAAATCAGGGTCATAATTTTACATAAATATCTGGTTTTGTAGCTGTAGCTAAAAAATATTTCTAATGTCGATACAAAATTCCAGGCCAACACAGGAGGCTATGAACAACATTACTCCAAACAGCACGTGTCTAGGGGGTTGGTGACGGTGTGTCACTAACATCACGTGTCTAGGGAGTTGGTATGGGTGTGTCACTAACAACACGTGTCTAGGGGTTCGGTGAGAGTGTGTCACTAACAACACGTGTCTAGGAGGTTGGTGAGGGTGTGTCACTAACAACACGTGTCTAGGGTGTTGGTGAGGGTGTGTCACTAACAACACGTGTCTAGGGAGTTGGTATGGATGTGTCACTAACAACACGTGTCTAGGGAGTTGGTGAAGGTGTGTCACTAACAACACGTGTCTAGGGAGTTGGTGAGGGTGTGTCACTAACAACACGTGTCTAGGGAGTTGGTGACGGTGTGTCACTAACAACACGTGTCTAGGGAGTTGGTATGGATGTGTCACTAACAACACGTGTCCAGGGAGTTGGTGAAGGTGTGTCACTAACAACACGTGTCTAGGGGGTTGGTGATGGTGTGTCACTAACAACACGTGTCTAGGGGGTTGGTGAAGGTGTGTCACTAACAACACGTGTCTAGGAGGTTGGTGAGGGTGTCACTAACAACACGTGTCTAGGAGGCTGGTGATGGTGTGTCTCTAACAACACGTGTCTAGGGGGTTGGTGACGGTGTGTCACTAACAACACGTGTCTAGGAGGATGGTGAGGGTGTGTCACTAACAACACGTGCCTAGGGAGTTGGTGAGGGTGTGTCACTAACAACACGTGTCTAGGAGGTTCGTGATGGTGTGTCACTAACAACACGTGTCTAGGGGGTTGGTGATGGTGTGTCACTAACAACACGTGTCTAGGGAGTTGGTATGGATGTGTCACTAACAACACGTGTCTAGGGAGTTGGTGACGGTGTGTCACTAACAACACGTGTCTAGGGGGTTGGTGACGGTGTGTCACTAACAACACGTGTCTAGGGAGTTGGTGAGGGTGTGTCACTAACAACACGTGTCTAGGGAGTTGGTGACGGTGTGTCACTAACAACACGTGTCTAGGGAGTTGGTATGGATGTGTCACTTACAACACGTGTCTAGGGAGTTGGTGAAGGTGTGTCACTAACAACACGTGTCTAGGGGGTTGGTGAAGGTGTGTCACTAACAACACGTGTCTAGGAGGTTGGTGAGGGTGTCACTAACAACACGTGTCTAGGAGGCTGGTGATGGTGTGTCTCTAACAACACGTGTCTAGGGGGTTGGTCACGGTGTGTCACTAACAACACGTGTCTAGGAGGATGGTGAGGGTGTGTCACTAACAACACGTGCCTAGGGGGTTGGTGAGGGTGTGTCACTAACAACACGTGTCTAGGAGGTTGGTGATGGTGTGTCACTAACAACACGTGTCTAGGGGGTTGGTGATGGTGTGTCACTAACAACACGTGTCTAGGGAGTTGGTGACGGTGTGTCACTAACAACACGTGTCTAGGGGGTTGGTGACGGTGTGTCACTAAAAACACGTGTCTAGGGAGTTGGTGACGGTGTGTCACTAACATCACGTGTCTAGGGAGTTGGTATGGGTGTGTCACTAACAACACGTGTCTAGGGGTTCGGTGAGGGTGTGTCACTAACAACACGTGTCTAGGGAGTTGGTGATGGTGTGTCACTAACAACACGTGTCTAGGGAGTTGGTGATGGTGTGTCACTAACAATACGTGTCTAGGGAGTTGGTGAGGGTGTGTCACTAACAACACGTGTCTAGGAGGTTGGTGATGGTGTGTCACTAACAACACGTGTCTAGGGGGTTGGTGATGGTGTGTCACTAACAACACGTGTCTAGGAGGTTTGGTGATGGTGTGTCACTAACAACACGTGTCTAGGAGGTTGGTGATGGTGTGTCACTAACAACACGTGTCTAAGGGGTTGGTGACGGTGTGTCACTAACAACACGTGTCTAGGAGGTTGGTGATGGTGTGTCACTAACAACACGTGTCTAGGAGGTTGGTGATGGTGTGTCACTAACAACACGTGTCTAGGAGGTTGGTGATGGTGTGTCACTAACAACACGTGTCTAGGGGGTTGGTGATGGTGCATGGTCAACTATATCGACGTACATGATGCTTCCTCTAGATCTTGTTACGTGTAGATGAAGTGGTTTCTCTGACACATCTTGAGATCCTATGATTACCTGAACCTCATCTTAATAACCCCACCTTGATCAACACGCGCTTCCTCTCTGTGGATATTGCTAATATAACACAGTGTACTCTCGGCATTGGGTTAACTCTGCACCTAGTCTCTGTAATTGACCCCAGGTCATATATTTAATAAAACAACCATACGCATCTCCTTCTCAGCTCCAGCAACCTATCCTCACCCCCTTCCCAGTTCTAGTCTGAGATAAAGAGACTTGATAGTTCCTTAATACACGAGGGTTCCCTTATAGAATTGTCTCCGATTAAACTGATACATAGACTTTGTTGGGGATGTGTATATTATCAACTGGCCAAGGTCAGCGGCAAGTTGCACAGTTGAGAACAGCCAGTATGATTGGGAAGAATCGATAATCCAGTACATTGCTTTAGACGTGACTATCTGGGGAGAGGAGTAAATTCACGTACTGTGTTAGGGCGCATATCTAGGCCTCGGTCTGTAGGGAGGGTCTGTAGGGAGGGTCTAAATGAGGTCTGTAGGGAGGGTCTGTAGAGAGGGTCTATATGAGGTCTGTAGGAGGTCTGTAGCGAGGGTCTATATTAGGTATGTAGGTAGGGTATGTAGGAGGTCTGTAGGAGGTCTGTAGCGAGGGTCTATATTAGGTCTGTAGACAGGGTCTATATTAGGTCTGTAGGAGGTTTGTGGGGAGGGTCTGTAGGAGGGTTGTTGGAGATCTGCATAGGGAGGTCTGTTGGAGAGCTGTATGGATGTAATGTAGGAGGTCTGTAGGAAGTATGTAGGGAGGGTCTGTATGAGATATGTAGGGGAGCGTCTGTGGAGAGTCTCTATTATACAACAGCTGCTCTGCCCTGTACCCTACAACAATATGTACTGACTAACACTTATTATAGTTTATCCGGTATATAGCATATTGTTTCAAGAGCGCAGAGGACCTTCTACCTTGAGACTGAAGAAACACAGACTTGCCAAATTAGTGTGGACTTGTTTGAGAATTTCCTGATATAACTGTTTCAGGGTGTGTAAGAGACTGTGTATTTCATATTGGGGAGAACGGAGAGCGGTCAGTTAAAATTATGTCACGCTAATATGACACGTGTCATCAGATCCACTCTGCTTTACTGATAGCTAAGCAGGATGTAAAAAAATAATTATACATCATTTGAAAAAAAATTCTTTTGAAAGTTTTTTTTTGACTACTTGTTGACATCAGTTTCCGGGTTAGTGGGAGCACTAACCTACGTGACGTCATCACCCGACTGAACGACATGGACATGGTCTGATGTTTGAGAGAAAGCACCAAGCTGAACCGAGCGTGTTACGTGATTAATAACAACACTATGTGTTGATGTGAGTAACGGTATAAAGGTCACAAAGTTAGAGAAACAAAAACGATATAAAAATTGTTGGTCTCTGCTAATTAACGTTTGTCGGACAAACACAAAGACATTGTTTAGATTACTGAAGCTCCTCAGTCCCTCAGTATAACCCCTCCCTGCATTCCTCCGTCCACCATCCCCTCTCTCCCTCCCAACCTACACGAGGACATGCACGGCACATGCCTCTCCATACAACCGGCACCATGGACGATCTTCAGCACCATACGGCTACTGAATCTACCTGGATCAGTCTTAGCTGAGAGAATAACAACGTCCTACTTACGATAGTTGTGTAGTAATCCCTGTACGTATCCAAGTATCCGACTCCGAGAGGAAAGTGCCGTTTCTCCTCCTTTGTTTGTTTGTCAGATGACTGATTCACGGCGCTGTTATATATCGAACGGAGGCTGGTCATAGAAAGCTTCTAGAATGCGGCTTGTTGCCGGGAGATCCCACACCGAGGATGCTGGATGAGGCGAGATAGTATTACAGATGCTTTAGACGTCTGCCTCAGTCAGTCGCAGACGAGAGCAGACGAGAACTGGGAGCAGCAAACGATATAATCAAACGGTAAATCTAAATTCCCGAGCAGGTTCTCGGACTGGTCAGACCAGCCTGGTGTGATTAACTGACGTCTCTCCAACGTAGATGGAGCAGACGACAGATACTGAGATATATGATAGTGGCAGACGACAAAAAGATGACGGCCGCCTCACTCACGTCTCACGTGCAAAGATGACTCAATGCCCACTCGTATGACGGAGTCTCTTCGTTAACAAGTGATTCTGCTGCTGTTGCGCATTGCTGGGCAATGATCGATACTGCCGAGGTTTTATCATTGCAATATTTCCATCTGTTAATAGAGCGCCGTCTGGCGGGTCATTGACATCTGTGGCCGGGTGCTGGGGAGGCCGATATTGGTGCGTGGTTGGCTTCATCAGGTGATGTATGCAGGCTCATGATGGGGCCAAGGGGGATTGACATTCAGAGGATCCCGTCGTGGATGGAATATATCCCCAGATGTGTCATGCTTGGACCAAGGGGAATTACATTCAGCGGATCCCGTCGTAGATGGCCTATACCCATATAGGTCATGGTTTGGAACAACTCGCTGACCTGAATTCACCCGGAGCCCTAGCCTGGCTGGACTAGTGTTAGATCGTACCCTTATCAGTTGGAAGATGTCTGTGCGGTTTTATCTCACTTATTTTTGTTCACGTGTTTGTTGTTCAACGCTGCACTTAGTATTCCAGCTGTACGACGGCGGACTGTAAATAATCGAGTCTGGACCAGACAATCCAGTGATTGACATCATGAGCATCGATCCACGCAATTGGGATAAGGTGACATGCATGAACCAAGTCAGCTAGCCTGACCACCCGATCCCGTTAGTCGCCTCTTACGACAAGCGCAGCCACCTTTTACGGCAAGAATGGGTTGCCGAAGACCTATTCTCCCCGGGACCTTCACGGATCTCCCACTTATTAACTCGGGGCCCTAACCAACTGTATGGCTATATATTCGGGATTGATTTGCGTCATTCCCTACTTGGTCTCTCTTTCAACAATAACAGCAAAATACCTTAATTAATACCCCTCTCAGCTGCCACTGTCCCGTGTCCTTCACCTTTATTAGTAGTACTGGTGGTGCTAGTGGTGCGAGTAGTAGTAGTAGTAGTAGTAGTAGTAGTAGTAGTAGCAGTGGAAGTAGCAGCAGTAGAAGTAGTGGTAGTAGTGGCAGTAGCAGTGGCAGTAGTACTAGTAGTAGTATTAGTGGTAGTAGTTGTAATAGTAGTGGTAGAAGTGGTGGTGGTAGTAGTAGTAGTGGTGGCAGTAGGAGGGGTAGTAGTAGTAGTCGCAGTAGTAGTAGTAGTAGTAGTGGCAGTAGTAGAAGTAGTAGTAGTAACAGCAGCGGTATTAGTACTATTAGTAGTGTTGTTGGTGGTGGTAGTAGTAGTAGTAGTTACTGCTATCAAACACCTGGTTGCACGATTGCAGTTAATTCTATCAAACACCTGGTTGCACGATTGCAGTTAATTCTATCAAACACCTGGTTGCACAATTGTCGTTAATTTTATCAAACACCTGGTTGCACGATTGCAGTTAATTCTATCAAACACCTGGTTGCACGATTGCAGTTAATTCTATCAAAAAACTGGTTGCACGATTGCAGTTAATTCTATCAAACACCTGGTTGCACGATTGCAGTTAATTCTATCAAACACCTGGTTGCACGATTGCAGTTAATTCTATCAAAAAACTGGTTGCACAATTGTCGTTAATTTTATCAAACACCTGGTTGCACGATTGCAGTTAATTCTATCAAACACCTGGTTGCACGATTGCAGTTAATTCTATCAAACACCTGGTTGCACGATTGCAGTTAATTCTATCAAACACCTGGTTGCACAATTGTCGTTAATTTTATCAAACACCTGGTTGCACGATTGCAGTTAATTCTATCAAACACCTGGTTGCACGATCGCAGTTAATTTTATCAAACACCTGGTTGCACAATTGTCGTTAAGTCTATCAAACACCCGGTTGCACAATTGCCGTTACTTCTATCAAACACCTGGTTGCACAATTTTCGTTAATTCTATCAAACACCAGGTTTCACAATTGTTGTTAAGTCTATCAAAACACCTGGTTGCACAATCTATCAAACACCTGGTTGCACAAACTATCAAACACCCGGTTGCACAATTGTTGTTAAGTCTATCAAACACCTGGTTGCACAATTGTCGTAAATTTTATCAAACACCTGGTTGCACGATTGCACTTAATTTTATCAAACACCTGGTTGCACAATTGTCGTTAATTCTTTCAAACACCCAGTTGCACAATTGTCGTTAATTCTATCAAACACCTGGTTGCACAAACTATCAAACACCTGGTTGCACGATTGCAGTTAATTCTATCAAACACCTGGTTGCACAATTGTCGTTAATTTTATCAAACACCTGGTTGCACGATTGCAGTTAATTTTATCAAACATCCGGTTGCACAATTGTCGTTAATTTGATCAAACACCTGGTTGCACGATTGCAGTTAATTTTATCAAACACCCGGTTGCACAATTGTCGTTACTTCTATCAAACACCCGGTTGCACAATTGTCGTTAATTCTATCAAACACCCGGTTGCACAATTGTCGTTAATTCTATCAAACACCTGGTTGCACAATTGTCGTTAATTCTATCAAACACCTGGTTGCACAATTGTCGTTAATTCTATCAAACACCTGGTTGCACAATTGTCGTTAATTCTATCAAACACCCGGTTGCACAATTGTCGTTACTTCTATCAAACACCTGGTTGCACAATTGTCGTTAACTCTATCAAACACCCGGTTGCACAATTGTCGTTAATTCTATCAAACACCTGGTTGCACAATTGTCGTTAATTCTATCAAACACCCGGTTGCACAATTGTCGTTACTTCTATCAAACACCTGGTTGCACAATTGTCGTTAATTTTATCAAACACCTGGTTGCACGATTGCAGTTAATTCTATCAAACACCTGGTTGCACGATTGCAGTTAATTCTATCAAAAAACTGGTTGCACGATTGCAGTTAATTCTATCAAACACCTGGTTGCACAATTGTCGTTACTTCTATCAAACACCCGGTTGCACAATTGTCGTTAATTCTATCAAACACCCGGTTGCACAATTGTCGTTAATTCTATCAAACACCTGGTTGCACAATTGTCGTTAATGCTATCAAACACCTGGTTGCACAATCTATCAAAAACCTAGTTGCACAATTGTGGTTACTGCTATCAAACACGATATGCCATTCAGGACATTAAGATACACACGTTTAACAAAAAAAAGCTTCATTCGCTGTTAATAAAGTTGTGCAACAATTGACAAGCGTTTGAAGAGGGCCTCTAAAATGATTCATATTGAGGAGGCAAATTCACAACGTACGATTTACAGCAATTCGTTACCGGACAATGGAGCTGTATATCACATGTTACTTTACGTATGAATAATACATACAATCTAAATAGCAAATGGCACATGTGGGTTAGGAGCAGAATATATGGGCCACATATCTGACACAAACCAATGATCAATTCCACGCGCCATGCATCAGCTGTCTGCGACATCTGGTCCAGTGACATGCGCAGTGAAGATGCGATTCAATACCCGAGACATTACGAGATTCCATAAAACCAACTCACATCACGTGATCAATACTTCTGCTCAGTGACCAGGGTCTGGTATTATCACAACTTTGAGCACTTCTCTCTCTAACAGCTGCTGGTAATCACGTGACTCCAAGGACATGTAGAACGCGTATAATGTAATGTGGAGACGCACCAGACACGAGGGCAGACGTGTCCGTGGTTGTGTAGTCTGCGCGTCATATAGAGCGCGGCGAACGCAGTTACAAAAAGGGAGTGAATGAGGATGGTTTTACGCCGCTTCCATATTCCAACAATATCACGACCGTAAGGTACAAACACATTGAGCTTCACACATCGGGACAATGAAAGGCATCAGTCCTGGAACTCCGACATGTTGGTGTTTTTGTAAACAGTTTGCCCACTCTGTGGTTGTAACTTAATATCTGAGAGGGCCGGTGAGGTACCCCAGTGGCTAAAGCGTTAGCTCGTCACGCCAAAGACCTGGATTCCATTCCCTACATGGAGGCAATGTGTGAAGCCCATCTGTGGTGTCTCCCGTCGTGATATTATTGGAATATTGCTAAAAGCGGCGTTAAACCTCACTCACTCACTAAGATCTGGGATCGACCCATGGGGCAGACAATCCATTATTAACAGCTTGAGACTCGAACATGCCGTTGTAGTACATGTTTTCCGAGGCAAGCGTGTCCATCAGCCTACTATATCAAAGTCTAGTTATGAAAATCAGTGGACACACTTGCCTTAATTTCGTAACTAGACTCTATAAAGGCTAACGGACACGCATACGTCGGGAACATGGTCGAGGTATGACGTCACTCCTTGCCTGACACCTCTCTCTTTCTCTCTCTCTCTCAAACACACACACACACACACACACACACACACACACACACACACACATTACTGATATGAAACGCAATCAAAGATACTTTTAATGTTTTCAATAGCAACTATCAAATATGGGGATTGGACCTCCAGTCATCATCAGGGAATGACTAACAATGAAAACATCGCACACACGCAGCCGTGTTCCCACAGTGTCGAGGAATCTTCTGTGTCGGAGGCGCTGATTGGCTGGTGACTCATCCCAGAATACCACTGCTCTGACGAGGAAGGGATTCCACAAGTGTTGCCAAGTTATTTATGGTAACGAAGGTATAACGGGGAAATACCTTTCTTTGGGTTTAAGTGATTTATTTTTTACTGAAATTTATTTCACATATTGTGTTTAATGTTATGTGTGATGTAAGCGAACAACATTTGAATGTTATTTGTATCCACGTGAAAGCAGGCGGTAGGTATACGACTACAGGAGAGTTTACCGTTACAGTCGTAGTAACGTTATAAGCTAGTTTTGTTGATGGGTGAGGGGAGGTGAAATGGAGTTTAACGTCGCGTCCAAGATTTTTTCACAGTATACTGTCTCCGAGCCGACCATGCAGTCCTTGTTTTAGCCACTTTTTAGCCAAACAGGGTACCAACAATTACCATCTTTTAATTGTTTTGGTATGACGGCCCTTTTTAGCCAAACAGGGTGACAACGAGTACCATCTTTTAATTGTTTTGGTATGACGGCCCTTTTTAGCCAAACAGGGTGACAACGAGTACCATCTTTTAATTGTTTTGGTATGACGGCCCTTTTTAGCCAAACAGGGTGACAACAAGTACCATCTTTTAATTGTTTTGGTATGACGGCCCTTTTTAGCCAAACAGGGTGACAACAAGTACCATCTTTTAATTGTTTTGGTATGACGGCCCTTTTTAGCCAAACAGGGTGACAACAAGTACCATCTTTTAATTGTTTTGGTATGACGGCCCTTTTTAGCCAAACAGGGTGACAACAAGTACCATCTTTTAATTGTTTTGGTATGACGGCCCTTTTTAGCCAAACAGGGTGACAACAAGTACCATCTTTTAATTGTTTTGGTATGACGGTCTTTTTAGCCAAACAGGGTGACAACAAGTACCATCTTTTAATTGTTTTGGTATGACGGCCCTTTTTAGCCAAACAGGGTGACAACAAGTACCATCTTTTAATTGTTTTGGTATGACGGCCCTTTTTAGCCAAACAGGGTGACAACAAGTACCATCTTTTAATTGTTTTGGTATGACGGCCCTCTTTAGCCAAACAGGGTAACAACAAGTACCATCTTTTAAGTCTTTTGGTATGACGCGGCCTTCTGCTCTCCAGGCGGATGCTCTACCACTAGGCCAAGGAGGAGGTCTTGTGGTTCATGGGATAAAGGGATGAGGTTGCGTGGGACATGGGGTTTAAGGGTGTAGGGGGTGAAGGGTGATAGCCGCTTTTAGCAATATTCCAGCAATATCACGGCGGGGGACACCAGAAATTGGCTTCACACAATGTAACCATGTCGGGAATCGAACCCGGGTCTTCGGCATGACGAGCGAACGCTTTAACCACTAGGCTGCCCCACCAGCCCCAAAGGCATTTAGAAGCGATACACACAAGGAATATACACACCTGGTGAAGGAGTAAGTATATACTCCGAAATGTTGTTGCCTCATACAAAAGAAGTTTACATCCATAAACTCTCTTCCTGATATTTGAGATTGTTCTGCAATGACTACACGCGCAGACTGCGGAGTAACAAGAATTGACTATGACGTCACAATGTCACGTTTCGTTGTTTACGATCGAAGCACGGCGTGGTTGAATCTTCAGAAGATTCTAGGCAAACCAGATTCCCAACATTACGTGTGACTGGTCACATCCTCTCCCTCACGTTCCTGAGCCCCTCTCTACCAGTAACACTGTGTTGTTCACTGCCAGGATTACAATCAGAGGAAGCGTGATAAGACGTACAAACATTTTGTTTTTGTTTGTGTGTAGGTGTAATACCGTGGTGGAATGTCAGAGATAGCGGCCGGATTGCGGAACTTCCATGTACTGAGTCAGTCTCTGGTAACAGTACATGCAGTGAACAGACCGGGGAGCAGCGTGGCACAGGATGCGAGGTGTTTATAGCGTCTATTGTTGATTTGCGGCGGTGTTATTATTACCTGGTTCATTGTACATGGAAGATTATTATTTGCTTGGGTATTTACACTACGCTCAACAGCTTACTCAGAAACACCCTCCCCCTTCCCCCACATCGGAACAGTTTTCAATGCCTTTGTACAACGACAACATGTGACTATCGAGCTCTACAATTTCATATTTGTATCTATGATATTGAATGAAATATATATAAATTTACTAAAATATACCTGTGCGTTTCTTTTTGGAGAGTGTATAACGGTCAAGGAAACTGAATCAACGTTCAGCACGTTACTGGGTAGACGTGCACGCACCTGTCTCTAGTACACACGTTACTGGGTAGACGTGCAAGCACATATCTATAGTACACACATTACTGGGTAGACGTGCACGCACCTGGCTATAGTACACACGCATTTTGGTAGACGTGCACGCACCTGTCTATAGTACACACGTTACTGGGTAGACTTGCACGCACAGGTTCGTCACAGCGAAGGAAACGACAGCAGCCACGTCAGGATGCCGCATCAGTCGACGCACTGAGCTACGACGTCTCCGTGTCACCGGCTTTCGAGCCTACTCCAATCTGTGGAATGGCCTTGACCTTGAACATCAACGTCGAAGACGACACTGGGTAAGGAGAGCACAACGTCGGCAGATCCCCGACTTGCAGAGTGTGCGTTTCCTGCAGAAAGCAGATTCTGCTTATTCATCCGGGATTGGTTACCAGGAAGATCAGACACAGGCTAGTGTGTAGGTATCAGGGTAGATCAGACATAGCCTACATGTGTACCAGGGATTGTGTAAGTATCAAGGACGATCCGACACTGGCTACGGGTGTACCAGGGATTGTGTAAGTATCAAGGACGATCCGACACTGGCTACGGGTGTACCAGGGATTGTATAAGTATCAAGGACGATCCGACACTGGCTACGGGTGTACCAGGGATTGTGTAAGTATCAAGGACGATCCGACACTGGCTACGGGTGTACCAGGGATTGTGTAAGTATCAAGGACGATCAGACACTGGCTACGGGTGTATCCGGGATTGAGTAGGTATCAAGGACGATCCGACACTGGCTACGGGTGTACCAGGGATTGAGTAGGTATCAAGGACGATCCGACACTGGCTACGGGTGTACCAGGGATTGTATAAGTATCAATGACGATCCGACACTGGCTACATGTGTACCAGGGATTGTGTAGGTATCAAGGAAGATCAGACACAGGCTACAGGTGTATCCGGGATTGAGTAGGTATCAAGGACGATCAGACACAGGCTACAGGTGTATCCGGGATTGAGTAGGTATCAAGGACGATCCAACACTGGCTACGGGTGTATCCGGGATTGAGTAGGTATCAAGGACGATCCAACACTGGCTACGGGTGTATCCGGGATTGAGTAGGTATCAAGGACGATCAGACACTGGCTACGGGTGTATCCGGGATTGAGTAGGTATCAAGGACGATCAGACACTGGCTACGGGTGTATCCGGGATTGAGTAGGTATCAAGGACGATCAGACACTGGCTACGGGTGTACTAGGGATTGTGTAAGTATCAAGGACGATCCGACACTGGCTACGGGTGTACCAGGGATTGTATAAGTATCAAGGACGATCCGACACTGGCTACGGGTGTACCAGGGATTGTGTAAGTATCAAGGACGATCCGACACTGGCTACATGTGTACCAGGGATTGAGTAGGTATCAAGGACGATCCGACACTGGCTACGGGTGTACCAGGGATTGTATAAGTATCAATGACGATCCGACACTGGCTACATGTGTACCAGGGATTGTGTAGGTATCAAGGAAGATCAGACACAGCCTACAGGTGTATCCGGGATTGAGTAGGTATCAAGGACGATCAGACACAGGCTACAGGTGTATCCGGGATTGAGTAGGTATCAAGGACGATCCAACACTGGCTACGGGTGTATCCGGGATTGAGTAGGTATCAAGGACGATCCAACACTGGCTACGGGTGTATCCGGGATTGAGTAGGTATCAAGGACGATCAGACACTGGCTACGGGTGTATCCGGGATTGAGTAGGTATCAAGGACGATCAGACACTGGCTACGGGTGTATCCGGGATTGAGTAGGTATCAAGGACGATCAGACACTGGCTACGGGTGTATCCGGGATTGAGTAGGTATCAAGGACGATCCAACACTGGCTACAGGTGTATCCGGGATTGAGTAGGTATGAAGGAAGATCAGACACAGGCTACGGGTGTACCAGGGATTGTGTAGGTGTCAAGGGAGATCAGACACAGGCTACGGGTAACTAGGGATTGTGTAGGTATCAAGGAAGATCAGACACAGGCTACAGGTGTATCCGGGATTGAGTAGGTATCAAGGAAGATCAGACACAGGCTACGGGTGTACCAGGGATTGTGTAGGTGTCAAGGGAGATCAGACACAGGCTACGGGTAACTAGGGATTGTGTAGGTGTCAAGGGAGATCAGACACTGGCAAGATGTGTACCAGGGATTGTGTAAGGTGTCAAGGGAGATCAGACACTTGCAAGGTAAAGTGATAAAAGTGAGAAAACTCCTAGAGACGAGGGTGAGATTTTATTTATCATCCAACATTATTCTTCCACTTTTTTTTCAGTTTGTAGACAGCAAGAAGCAGTGTTCTAAGTGTAAAAAGTACTGCTAACAGCTTCATGGTAACCAATGACGTCACAATGGTCTGCAAAGCATTCTGATGCAATTTCATTGCAGCGATATCTACAGTGTAGATATCGCTTGATCCCACCCAAGCAATATCTCCTGTGGGAGCTAGTTTGGGATGATAACCATAAACACAACCAATTTACAACACATGTCCATCACACAAGGAGTAGTCCATAGAAGACATAAACAATAATGAACCTGTACCGAAATAATGACATTGTTATTTGACACAGTTCGATGGAGGCGACCCGCCATGCTCTGTAACTGGCATATTGAAGCATATGCTCATGTAGTAATAGTAATATAGTTATGCATTAATATCATCGCACAAAATATACACAACTACACACGTTTAAATTCAAGCTTATATCATGATGTACTAGAACAGTTTATTTACGGTAATGACGTTACTTTTCAGTAACATACATACGATTGAAACACACTGACATGGTGATGGGTGGTTCAGTCCACTGTGTGCCGCGAGGTGTGATCTGTGCCCCGAGGTGTGATCTGTGGTGTTATCTGTGATCTGAGATGTGATCTGTGCTCTGCGATGTGATCTGTGCTCTGAGATGCGATCTGTGCTCTTGGGTGTGATCTGTGCTCTGCGATGTGATCTGTGCTCTGCGATGTGATCTGTGCTCTGTGATGTGATCTGTGCTCTGAGATGTGATCTGTGCTCTGCGATGTGATCTGTGCTCTGCGATGTGATCTGTGCTCTGCGATGTGCTCTGTGCTCTGTGATGTGATCTGTGCTCTGAGATGTGATCTGTGCTCTGAGGTGTGATCTGTGCTCTGAGGTGAGATCTGTGCTCTGAGGTGTGATCTGTGCTCTGAGGTGTGATCTGTGCTCTGAGGTGTGATCTGTGATCTGTGCTCTGAGGTGTGATCTGTAATCTGTGCTCTGAGGTGTGATCTGTGCTCTGGGATGTGATCTGTGCTCTGAGGTGTGATCTGTGCTCTGAGGTGTGATCTGTGCTCTGCGATGTGATCTGCGCTCTGCGATGTGATCTGTGCTCTGCGATGTGATCTGTGCTCTGCGATGTGATCTGTGCTCTGCGATGTGATCTGTGCTCTGTGATGTGATCTGTGCTCTGCGATGTGATCTGTGCTCTGAGGTGTGATCTGTGCTCTGCAATGTGATCTGTGCTCTGCGATGTGATCTGTGCTCTGAGGTGTGATCTGTGCTATGAGGTGTGATCTGTGATCTGTGCTCTGCGATGTGATCTGTGCTCTGCGATGTGATCTGTGCTCTGCGATGTGATCTGTGCTCTGAGGTGTGATCTGTGCTCTGAGGTGTGATCTGTGCTCTGCGATGTGATCTGTGCTCTGAGATGTGATCTGTGCTCTGCGATGTGATCTGTGCTCTGCGATGTGATCTGTGCTCTGCGATGTGATCTGTGCTCTGAGATGTGACCTGTGCTCAGAGGTGTGATCTGTGCTCTGCGATGTGATCTGTGCTTTGAGGTGTGATCTGTGCTCTGAGGTGTGATCTGTGCTCTGAGGTGTGATCTGTGCTCTGCGATGTGATCTGTGCTCTGAGGTGTGATCTGTGCTCTGAGGTGTGATCTGTGCTCTGAGGTGTGATCTGTGCTCTGCGATGTGATCTGTGCTCTGAGGTGTGATCTGTGCTCTGAGGTGTGATCTGTGCTCTGAGGTGTGATCTGTGCTCTGAGGTGTGATCTGTGCTCTGCGATGTGATCTGTGCTCTGAGGTGTGATCTGTGCTCTGAGGTGTGATCTGTGCTCTGCGATGTGATCTGTGCTCTGCGATGTGATCTTTTGCTCTGAGATGTGATCTGTGCTCTGTGCTCTGAGGTGTTTATGTACAAGGATGCAGTGATCTCCAGTCAAGAACATAACGTACAAGGATGCAGTGATCTCCAGTCAAGAACATAACGTACAAGGATGCAGTGATCTCCAGTCAAGAACATAACGTACAAGGATGCAGTGATCTCCAGTCAAGAACATAACGTACAAGGATGCAGTGATCTCCAGTCAAGAACATAACGTACAAGGATGCAGTGATCTCCAGTCAAGAACATAACGTACAAGGATGCAGTGATCTCCAGTCAAGAACATAACGTACAAGGATGCAGTGATCTCCAGTCAAGAACATAACGTACAAGGATGCAGTGATCTCCAGTCAAGAACATAACGTACAAGGATGCAGTGATCTCCAGTCAAGAACATATCGTACAAGGATGCAGTGATCTCCATTTAAGAACATATCGTACAATGATGCAGTGATCTCCAGTCAAGAACAAAATAACGTACAAGGATGCAGTGATCTCCAGTCAAGAACAACACAACGTACAAGGATGCAGTGATATCCAGTCAAGAACAACATAATGTTATTCAAAAGAGTACCTCAGAAGATTCACTATTTCCTCGCTGTAATAATTCATTTTAGCCAAAGTTTCACATTCCTCTAACCTTCTGTTACCTTCCCCTCTGCTAATGTCAAATGTTTTCAAGGACAGGAGGTGTTCCACTATAGACACGTTACCTCCTCTACATGCCAGCATCAGGCAGTCCCTGTTTTGTCCATCAGTTAGTGACAGATCAGCTCCCTCCAACACAAGAAGATTATAAACATCATAATGTCCTCCTTCAGCTGCCAACATAACAGCTGTTTGTTTCCGTGACCCCCATCGTCTGTTGATGTCAAATGTTTTCAAGAACAGGAGGTGTTTCACGATATACACGTTACCTCTCTTACATGCCAACATCAGGCAGTCCATGCTATCTCCATCAGTAAGTGACACATCAGCTCCTTCCAACACAAGAAGATTATAAACATCATAGTGTCCTCTTTCAGCTGCCATCATAACAGCTGTTTGTTTCTGTGACCCCCATCGTCTGTTGATGTCAAATGTTTTCAAGGACAGGAGGTGTTTCACTATAGTCACGTTACCTCCTCTACATGCCAACATCAGGCAGTCCATGCTATCTCCATCAGTAAGTGACACATCAGCTCCCTCCAACACAAGAAGATTATAAACATCATACTGTCCTCTTTCAGCTGCCATCATAACAGCTGTTTGTTTCTGTGACCCCCATCGTCTGTTGATGTCAAATGTTTTCAAGGACAGGAGGTGTTTCACTATAGTCACGTTACCTCCCTTACATGCCAACATCAGGCAGTCCATGCTATCTCCATCAGTAAAAGACACATCAGCTCCCTCCAACACAAGAAGATTATAAACATCATACTGTCCTCTTTCAGCTGCCATCATAACAGCTGTTTGTTTCCGTGACCCCCATCGTCTGTTGATGTCAAATGTTTTCAAGGACAGGAGGTGTTTCACTATAGACACGTTACCTCCCTTACATGCAAATATCAGGCAGTCCATGTTGAAACTATCAGTAAGTGACAGATCAGCTCCCTCCAACACAAGAAGATTATAAACATCATAATGTCCTCCTTCAGCTGCCAACATAACTGCTGTTTGTTTCCGTGACCTCCATCGTCTGTTGATGTCAAATGTTTTCAAGGACAGGAGGTGTTTCACTATAGACACGTTACCTCCCTTACATGCAAACATCAGGCAGTCCCTGTTGTTTCTACCAGTAAGTGACAGATCAGCTCCCTCCAACACAAGAAGATTATAAACATCATAGTGTCCTCTTTCAGCTGCCAACGTAACTGCTGTTTGATTCCAAAACCCAAATCGTCTGTTGATGTTAAATGTTTTCAAGGACAGGAGGTGTTTCACTATAGACACGTTACCTCCTCTACATGCCAACATCAGGCAGTCCCTGATGTATGCATCAGTAAGTGACAGATCAGCTCCCTCCAACACAAGCAGATTATAAACATCATACCGTCCTCCTTCGGCTGCCATCATAACTGCTGTTTGTCTAGACCACCCTCCTTGCATGTCTATGGTTATGTGTTCACATGTCAGCAGATACTCTACAACCGATACATGGTCGTTGATACATGCTATTTCGTTCACATTGAAAACATTCTGAGGAGTAAGATCTGCTTTGTGTGAAACAAGGAACTTGAGGATTTCAACCTGCCCTGACTCAGTACACACCATAACAGGGGTGTTTCCCTCACGATTGCGGTCATTGATGAGGTGTTGAAACTTCTCAATAATAACATTTACAATATCTTTGCTTCCTGATTTACATGAATAATGAAGACAGTTGTAACGGTCCTTGTCTGTCGCTGAAACATCAGCTCCCTCTTGGAGAAGGACGTTGAACACATCCAACTGTCCTGCCTCAGCAGCAATCATTAGCAGAGTCTTCTCTCCCTTTGTCCTCCTGTCTACATCGTATTCCCCGTGTTGTTTGAGTACAGCAGCAATATGTTGCAGGTGCCTGAGATTGCCATGTTGTGTACAGCCTATGATACTATCATAAAAGTCAGCGAGTACAGAATGTGAAAGACTTCCCTCTCTACACATCAGTGACACTGAGCGTTCAAACAGTGAATGGTTAGTTGACAGTGAAACCCAATACAGAAAACATTCACCTGAGCTCTTATCCTTCCTGTGAACAACATCTGGCAAGTCTGTCGTCATCTGTGTCAAGAAGTCGGAGACTATTTGAGCACTTCTGAATACAGGGTGGCCTACTGTCCATCTGAAGCATCCTTCTCGGACACCCTCCACCAATCTGCTGATCACTAACGGGTGGAGACTTGAGGTGATGCAGATCATGTTTGTGACATCATCAGTGTGGGTTGTCTTTAGGTGATCATCCTTGTTCAGCCTCACTCTTTCATATAAAAACTGCAGGGAACAATGTTCCAGTAAAAACACTTCATTGAGATTCCCCAAGGCACATGCTGCAGCATCATAGATGGATGGATGAGAGAAGGAGGCTTCATGATTCTCCACTGTAGAGTAGGTGCCAGTAAAGTTGATGATCTCCCTGCCAATGCCTGTCCGAGTGCAAGACGCTATCTCCTCCTTTACAGCCTGAAACAGATCAGTGAGACTCTTCTCCTTCCCCTTAAAAGAGGCAAGGTTCAATTTCCCTCCACACAGGACGAGGAGAACCAGAGCTGCCGACCTGCTGCTGCCTTCACGGACAATGGCGTCAAGGTCCCCTCTCAGGTAGGTCACAGGTTTCTGGAAGAAGTCAATAATGTTGTGCATCTGGAAGGCTGGGTTGGTACAATACAGTTGACAGATCAGAGGAAATCCAAACATGCTGTCTTGTAACTGAGTAATGGTTTTCATGTCCTCATAGGAGATATCACATTTACTTCTTTCCCTAAACGAATTCACAATAGATTCCTTCTCCTTGGTAGTCAGGCCGGTCTTGGTCATATCAATGACACTTTCTGGCTTGAAAAGATTTACCTTGAACTGGTGCATTCTTCCACATGCTTCATTCAAGTTGTAGCTTCTGGATGTGAAAATAAAGTGGAGTTTGTGGGTTTGTTTAGTCTCTTCTTGCTTATTCTCGGCTGCTTGTTCCTGTTGGATTGAAATGTTTACCAAAGCATCAACCAGGGCTGTCAAGACTTTGCGAATTTTCTCCAAATTGGAAGGAACCGCTGCAGAACCAAATATATCATCAAACACAACCAGCATGTCACATGTTCGTTGAATGATTGTATCCACATCAAACACTTCAATATTTTCAACAAATACAACTTCGTGTTTTTTGTGGAGATATTTCTCACATATCTTGAGAGCAGTGCATGTTTTCCCTTCTCCAGGAGCTCCACAAATTGCCACATGGTTGTGCCTTTCCAGAAGTTCTTCTGCTTCATGAAAGATATAAGTTTCCTTAAACACTTTATTCAGCTGCTTGATCCTGATGCCAAGAGACTCTGAAAAAGACATCAGAGCATTACACTACATCATCACAGAATTATGAAACTAGAAACCATTATTTTTAAAACAAAGAAACACTCAAAGAAAAGAAAACAGCGTCATCACTATCCCCAACCAAGGGTTACCTTAGAGTTTTGTTTCTCTTCGTGGCAGGGGATAAGTATGTTTGCAATAGGTACACACAATCTACTTCAAACAAAGAATGTGCAGTGTGTGGGGTTACATTGTAAAGTATAGAATACATATTTACGAAACTTGTGCTTCCCAATCCAACCTGGGATATTGTCATTATACCAAAGGATGGTAACAGAAAGTGCCTTGCATTCAATTGTATGCACCTAATTTTCCAATATTCAGTCTGTTCCTATCATATACTAAATATCGTGCAAAGGTTAAGGACACACTTGGCCAACCACATATAACGACCTCCATTTGACATAATTATCAAAATCCGATATATTTGATATCTATATACTTACCCTGCTCGCCTTTTCATGAACACCTGGTATCATGATATAGTCGGAATGGTACAATCGACTCTGCTTTATGCAGAGTTTCTATTGGATATGGAAAGGGTTTTGTCGCTTTATGTACATATATACAATGCAATCTCTTGCTGTAAAACAAAAACGTAATCCCAACGGAGATCTCTCACCAAGAGAGGGGAGAGAAAACACCAGCAAGAAACAATTTGCCCAAACACGGCTACCACCAGGTATCACGTCACCCAAGGTGTTGAGCGAATCAAGTTCATTCCAAAGAAGGTCCCTGCGGGGAAAAGCAGAAGGGGTGGTAACATTGCCTCAGTAATGTAGGATAAGTATATAATATATCAGATATTGATCAATTTGACTTATCCTGCATTACATATATTGCTTTAGTGAATGAGTTTCCTTTAAATGCGGTGTACTGTGACATTATAAAGTTATATATCGGTAGATATGATACTGGTCTATAGATGGAAACACATTTGATCATACATCTGTCAGTTTAAAGTTAATTTTGACAGCCCGGGCTAAGTCGGATCAAACACAGACCAATCACTTCTGATAGAGAGAATGTACAGGGAAAAGGGCTTCACTTTGAGCAACGTGTTTTCTACCGCAATGTGAGACACTAAAGTGGTATATAGGTAGATATAATACTAGTCTAGAGATGTAAAGTATGTGTAGTAATTTTAGAAGTGCTTTGACGGTTATTAACACGTGTCGTGACATTCGCGAATATCCACTTGCAGAAAACATCTTGTGTTGGTTTAACATGAATTAGTAAAGGTTAATAAGGGATGCCAAACACGTTAAATAATGAAAGACGAGTAATCAAAACACTGTCATTTCCTGCCCAGGACATCACATCCCTACACGCTAAGGTCGGTGAGAAACCTTCTCATCAAAGAAAGGACACTGTCAAGACACTGACTTTTCTACGAGGACTCTCGGTATGTAGTCATAATTATCAGTTTATTACATTGCTGCAGATGCACTTTGATTCGATTTCAATTAAATGAGCAAAACTATACGTTTCTTGACATTTGAGATCTGCCTAGATATGCACGTTTCGTTTTATTATTCTGTAATCCATTTTAGTATTACCCGCTGACCCCCGGCCCGGCCCGACTGTTCTTGGCCCGACATTTAGGCAATCCCACACCGGTGCCCAGGCGACTCAGGGCTCAAGGAACTCGTGGGCAGGAGATAATACATTGTTTCGATTTCTGTTGAGATTCGGTCGACGCCCATTGCATTGTATTTCTACAGTGATTCTTTGTCAGGAATGTTGTATATTTTGAGGAAGTTACTATATTTAAATACTGGTGTGGCGTGTAAACTTCCGGTATACCATGGACTTGGGCCATGATATATTTGGTGATGTTCTAGAGCCCCTAGCCTGATGAGGGCTGTGTGAAGGCAAGAAAATTCCAGTAGCTACTTCAGCTCTAGTTATTTAAGGAGACAACAGCATGCCTGTCACATCTCTCTCACCCATTTCATTACAACCAGACCAGCTTCCGTATGAGGCTCACCCATCACCCCTGAATTCCTGTCTAGGTCCGCCTCAGAAATTTGAACGCTGTCGCGACTGGGTAAATAAACAGTATTACCACTGACTTGTGCTCTAATTGTATTTGATACTGACCACTGCCCTCACATAATGTTTTGTTGTTGAATATTGTACTACTACTCTATTGTGTACTGCCATTGTAATTGCCGTGCAGTAGTGTGTATTGATGTGTCAACCTAGTTAATGTTGTAATACATTTGTTGATTGCTTACCACTTGTTGCTTGTTTATTGGTTTCACACTAAAATCTTTATGGTACAGTTTTTTTTCAATTATGGAATCGACACGTAGTGTTTGGCTTGTATTGAGTCTATGTAGAATGTAGAGGGAAAAGGGCTTCACTTTGAGCCCCTCGTTTTCTTTAAATACCGCGACCTGTGACATTATGCAAGTTTATTCCCACAGGAAGGTGGTGGGGAAACCTTCAAAGGGTCTTGGCTTGAGTGAGGCTGCTCTTCGGTGACTTGATCTGTCAGATGAATCAGCATATCGCTGATTAGGTCGTAAAAAAAATCAAATAGACGCCGGCAGTTCATTTTATAGCTTCTTCATTAGTTATTATAAACAAAAGAAGGAAGAAGGAAGAAGAAATCGTATGCCTGTGTTTAGATACAGAAGTAGGCGAGATGTGTGACTCAAATCGACTGTCACCCCCAGTGTTAACATCAACACAATCTGACGGTGGGGGAAACAGGGATAGTGCCTAGTGGTGCACTATCAGCGAAGTCCTGGATTGGGGTTAAGTTGTCGTAACACCAATGACCCATAATTGTGATGCCTCCTATATCCTCTACTTACAGGTCTTGCAGATCATGGCTTGGGAAGAGTGTGTCAGATTTCAAAAGCATCCCTCCATTATCAAAGCCACAGTGCAGTTGCCATGTGGCGTCATCGTAAATGCTCTGATTTCATTGGGATTGTTTGCTTCAGGAGGAAGTATATTTGCTGCTGAGTACGTCTGTAGAATCGTAGACCAGAGCGAGAAGCTGATCATGATTTTAGATACTTCTGACCAGCACATTAAAGTCGGAACATAGAGGCACTTTTTAATACCATGGAGTTGTCAAGTGAGGTAGGGCCGTAATACAATTCTGCTTCATCTTCAGATTCTGCTGTATGTGATAATGGCAGGACGCTGAAACGCCGATCTGGTTGACATGGAAGTTGTTTATACTGCTGTAAATTGCCAACAGATGCCCAGATGTACTGCACTTTGACGAGACAGTTCAAACAGTGACCCGTGAAGATCTGGGATAGAATAGGTCTTCAGAAACCCATGATTGCCGTAGGTGACGAACGGGATCTGGTGGTCATTCTCGCTGACTTGGTTGATGCATGTCATCGTATCCCAAAGGCGTGGATCGATGCTCATGATGTCAATCACTGGATTGTATGATTGTATGGTCCAGCTCGATTATTTACAGACTGCCGTCATATAGCTGGAAGATTGCTGAGTGCAGCGTTAAACAACAAACAAACAAACAATCATGTCGCGGTTGTGTTGCAACACCTGTCCATAACAGGTGGACGAAACTTCTGCTTTTAGACTTCAAGTTTGTAGGCTTTGAACATGAGTTGGAGTTTGGTTATGTGTGTATGTGTGTAGCCTTCAGATGACCCCTTCCATACAAGTACACTAGAAAGTGGTCGATGAACAATAAAGTAGCTTTCATAGGTGATTTGTCATGACCCTGACGGAAAGACAATGATGAGAAGCCTCTGGAGCAGCCTTTGGATATCAAAGCTGCTTCCTTATGGTCAAGGTGTGAAGATGGTGATTGAGGCTGGCTGTGAATACAACTGTGTTCGGGTATCCAAGATGTCAGACCAAAGGCGTCTGTTCGAAGCATCCACTGATAGCTGCAGTCTGAGTGACGCCAAGTGTGTTTGAGGATGTACAAGACTACCTTGCTGTCGTCTGCTCCCCACCTCTCCAAAGAGATTCCTCCAAAGGCGTTTAATGGGAGTATCCACCATCAGATCAAAACGTAATGTATTAGATGGAAGACAATCAAGGGATTCTCATCGTGTATGAGGTAGGGTTGGAGAAACATTTGAAGCGGCCGTAACTGAAGGCAATCCAATAGCATCAAGTCATGTGCTGATTGTCAAGATACGTATGAGGACTTGACAATCTTTCAGGCGCACTGGACCCTTTAATCCCGGGGGTATCGGCTCCTGAACCTTGTACCACTGATCTACGGTCACTTTAAGAAGGCCTGCTGCTCTGTTGAAGTGATAGCTGATGAAAGGTAAAGCCCATGTTGGAATCAGGAGTTGTGAATAAGTTTATCATCCAGTCCAGTTGAAATATCAGATGTCGAGGTACGCCGTGATGGGTTTCGTCACTCGCATAAAAATCCACCGGGCCGTGGAAATGTCAAATGAAAAAAAACTCATGTAATTCCTGTCTGACAGATGAATAGGGATAAGCAGCTTCGCATTCTCAAGGTCGATACTACTCATGAACTTCCCCGGTTGAACAGGATCCTGGGAGCTGCCAACATGATCATCTTCCGTTAATCTCTGTTGAACATGGCCATGTAGTGGATCATTCACATTTTGTTTGAACCCTTCTAGGGGACTAGGAACACGGGAAAAATAAAACCCTGCGTCAATGCGCCTGTTTTTTTCCCATTTGGATGTCTATGTTGAGCCTGTAACTTTGACGTAGTATGTTGGGTTTCCAAGAAAGGTCCTCCAAAACCGCGAGCTTCTCCCTTCTACCAGTTCTGGCTCCTCACAGACATTTACCTTTGCCTGTACTCAGCTGAGAAGAACGACCTTATACTAGAAGACCAACCTGTAGGTCCCGTGACCAAATCATGGAAACAAAAGTTTGAAAGTGTTTTTGAGTTTCCTGATGTATACTGAACAATTTTGACTTTGGCTGCTCGGTTGAAAATCCCGGGCATTTTGGGGAAGGGTCAAGTACAAAAGTCAAACAGGGGTCAAAATTCAAAATTGTGTCGATATGCATATCAAATTACTCGTGCAGTCATAAGGAACCTTGAAATATATAGTTTGTTATACTTCCTTAAATGGGGGAGCTATGGCCAAAAACGTTGAAAGGTCAACGCACTTTTGGCAGTCGGTGAAATTCACAAACACAGTTAACTTTGTCCGATAGTCATGATTTTAGTGTCTAATAATATGTTTTCTGACATGACAAATTCAACCAAGCAACTTTTAAAATTAAAAAGGGTTACCTTGACCTTAAAAATCGAAAATGGTTGGCTGCACGAAGAATGCTTCAGCCAAGTCACAGGATCCTTGGCCAAAAACGCAGCATATTTCAGAATCCATTGACCAGTAATGCTTTTCTAACCTTACTTTAGTGCACAGTTCATCATCCTACTCTGTGTCATACCGATCAGATGCAGAGTCGGAATCACTGTCACAATCACTAGTATCTGAATCTGTGTCCGATTCTACAGAGAAGTTTGCTCTGGCATCACTCAGATGTTGAGGCAAGTAAGCATTCTTCCATGACACAATGATTGACATAACGTTAACCTCGACGTCGGTACACTCGAACCCGTCCATCGCTGTGGCTGAGGTGAAACCGAGACTCGTCAGTGAATAGAACTTGTCCCCACTGCATGGCCGTCCAGCGTAGATGCTGTCTGCACCACTGTAGACGTGCTTGACGGTGGTTTCCTGTCAAAATGGGACGACTGGCGGGTCTTCTGGCGACAATCCCTGCACATCTGAGGTGGCGACGTACGGTTTGTGAAGATATTCGTCGAAGGCCAGGGATGCTTGTTGCAGTCACTGTTGCTGGCTGGAATCGATTCCATAGGTGTGTTGTTCGAATCCAGTTGTCTTGTCGATTATTGATTACGCATGGCCTGCCACTTTGAGGATAGTCACTGACTGCATTCGTCTGTTGCCAACGTTGCCCTAAACACCAAATTGTGTTTCTGTGGACGTTAAATTGTCTTGCAACATCACATTGACTCGATCCTGCTTCAAGCATACCAATGGCTCGCAGATCTCATTTTCAGAAAGGCGTGGCATTTTGTAATGTTGACTAATTGCGTAATTTTGTTGTTCTTCTGAGTGGTTGTTGTCAGCACCATGGTAAACAATGCATATGGAATCCCGTTAACGCACATGTTTGATACCCATTCTTGGGTAGTGAAATGCATGGGGCTTGCATAAAAGTTAACCTTTGCATGGAATGCATGCTTTTCTGTAGCAGTTGAGTTTTTGTTACTTTATTCCATACATATACTACAATATTGAAATCCAAACTTTACTTGTTTGAAAAATACACTAAAATATTGGTGTCACAGGAACTTTTGTTGTTGAGTATATGTAAAGTTAAAAAACTATGACATTTACCTTGTGATGCACAGCCTTGATGTCCGTGATTGCTAACTGAAATGTAAGAGATGTTGGACAGGTCATACTGGGACACTGAACAACCTGGAGCAGGAAAGCAACGTTAGACGAGTTGGACAGGTCATACTGGGACACTGAACAACCTGGAGCAGGAAAACAACGTTAGAGGAGTTGGACAGGTCATACTGGGACACTGAACAACCTGGAGCAGGAAAGCAACGTTAGACGAGTTGGACAGGTCATACTGGGACACTGAACAACCTGGAGCAGGAAAACAACGTTAGAGGAGTTGGACAGGTCATACTGGGACACTGAACAACCTGGAGGAGGAAACAACGTTAGACGAGTTGGACAGGTCATACTGGGACACTGAACAACCTGGAGCAGGAAAACAACGTTAGAGGAGTTGGACAGGTCATACTGGGACACTGAACAACCTGGAGCAGGAAACAACGTTAGAGGAGTTGGACAGGTCATACTGGGACACTGAACAACCTGGAGCAGGAAAATAACGTTAGAGGATTTGGACAGGTCATACTGGGACACTGAACAACCTGGAGCAGGAAAACAACGTTAGAGGAGTTGGACAGGTCATACTGGGAAACTGAACAACCTGGAGCAGGAAAACAACGTTAGAGGATTTGGACAGGTCATACTGGGACACTGAACAACCTGGAGCAGGAAAACAACGTTAGAGGATTTGGACAGGTCATACTGGGATAGTGAACAACCTGGAGCAGGGAAACAACGTTAGAGGAGTTGGACAGGTCATACTGGGGTACTGAACAACCTGGAGCAGGAAGCAACGTGCGAGGAGTTGGACATATCGTACATATGACACAATGTCAGAAGCGACTGGTAGCAAAGGGTTAAAAATAGCAGATTTTTAATCAAGGACAGGCTAAGAGATTTGTCTGTGAAAAAGGTCGAAGCGGATTAATAGTTGAGTTAGTCTTGACGGGAGGAAAGTGCACAAGTTTTTCATCAAGCTGAATCCATGCTCAACCTCTTCAGTGGAAGAAAGGATAAGCAGTGCCCTGTGTAGGAGATGCGTCATCATTGGAAAACACTCACCAAGGACACTATCTTTGCGAACAGCCTGATACAAATCATTCATCTTGAATTCACATATCATGATTGTTAAATATATATAGGTTCCGCAAAATATTTAGCAAGGCAGACCATCTGCCACATCATCTGGGCAGTTTTCTGGATCAAGTACACGGAAAGCTTGAGTGGGTGAGTGAGTGAGTATGGTTTATCGCCGCTTTTAGCAATATTCCAGCAATATCACGGTGGGGGACACCAGAAATGGGCCAGAAAGCTTGAAGCATATAAAATTCTGGAAGGTAATTTAAACTACCGACGTTTACTACAATATCTGAAAAACTATCGGACCTACTCAAGTCAAAGTTGGTATAAGATGATTAAACAGTCATACATTACTGGATATTACATTTAAAGACAATCGGTGCATGAATAAACAATCTGTGTCTATTTAGCTATCACTATATTTCATCAACAACCGGACCTGTTGTCACGGGTGGAACGAGCTTTCATTGTAACAGCCATCTGCATCATGTTACCCCTGCGTCACAGGGCCATATGACACAGTTCAACCAATCAACTCAACTCGAAAGGTTGCACGGGAATCACGCACGTTGAGACGCCCAACGCTAACACCGTATTCGTGCATGCGTGATTCCCGTGCAAGTCATTCACTCTTTCACAGAGATTTGTTCACTTGTTCAGATTGAGTGATCTGATCTTGCAGTTGTGTACATTCCTTCTTTCAACAAAATTTACTTCGAAGGGGATAATGATAACACAGCCAAAGCATGGCTTGATATATTTTAACTCACGATATTTATGAATGAAAAAAGGCTCCAGCCTGACTAGTAGGGGGTTGTCAATTGTGTCAATATTTTACAATAAACGGCGAATGTCGTTGAAAAAATCCCAAATTTGAATTAATATATTCCCAATTTCGATCACTCAATCTGAACATTTCAGTTACAAATCTCTGTGAAAGTGTGAATGACTTCCGACATTGTGATTTAAAACATCCAACAATGAGAATAGCTTTTGGTATTGATCGCTGGCATAAAATATTGTGTGTACATGACGGGCATCTTTTCTTATTTTGCCCTTGCCCCTCCTGTCAGTGTCACTGACACCTATCAGACTCAGTTTTTTCGAGTTTCACCGCTTTAGTACAGGGGCGTACAGTGAAAATTCAGATAGAACAAGGAACTGAAACATGTTTATTTCACAGTGGGGATACAGGCGTTGTTGGGTTTAAAGAAAGGTGGTGTTTGTCTTTTGAAGTTGACTTTGCGCTTATATTACCATTAGTTGACGAAATTCCAAACAGGCGACTTGTTTATCGAATATAGTATCCAGCAAGAATGGATATAGTATTCGCTCATGACTTACCAAATATGTTTCCTTGTCCTACAATGTTGCATTTGGTGGCTGTGCCTCCAGCCATTCCTATCACTGTCTTCACATCCTTCTCTTCCCCCTAGGTGGTCTGAGGTGAACCAACATTCCGATTCCAGGCACCTTGGGCTGTCATATGAAACAGAGAAGATATGACAGAAGCTTTCATAGATGCTCCAGTGAAAACTGACAACTTTCATGAAGAGACAAAACAATGAACGTTCATGTTAATTATTGTATTTTCGTTAAAGATAACTGTCTTGTTATGTTTGTTCATAAGTGGCCACGCTGAATCGGAGCAGAGCTTATTAAAGCTTTGTTCTAAGGTCCGATGAATCTTGCATGAAGGTTATGTAGGGTTATGGCTATCTCTGCCTTGCCTTACCTTACCTTACCTTACCTTACCTTACCTTACCTTACCTTACCTTACCTTACCTTACCTTACCTTACCTTACCTTACCTTACCTTACCTTACCTTACCTTACCTTACCAAATATCGAATTGCATTGGACATAATTTTTGTCACTGATGCGTCAAATTTGGAAATGTCCTCCACACGTCTACCATAAAACCTTTTGAAAGCTTTACTGAGGCCTTGAATGTTGTAACCTTGTAACTTCTGAGCAAGAGTCATTTTATGCTCTTTAAAATCTTCGATTGTACCTTAAAGCTTGTGTAATGTAGACAGCAAGGCTGGAATATTGCTGGACATTAAGGCAAAGTTGAAGTTTTCCATTATGTCACAGGGGCGGTCGGGTAGCCTAGTGGTTAAGGCGTTCGCTCGTCACGCCGAAGACCCGGGTTCGATTCCCGACATGGGTACAATGTGTGAAGCCTATATCTGATGTCCCCCGCTGTGATATTGCTCGATTATTGCTAAAAGCGGCGTAAAACCATACTCACTCACTCCATTTTGTTACTCTTTATCTTTATGCATAGATCTAAATATGAAATAAATGATATGGTTTTATGGGTCCCTTATATTTCTATTTTGGGGGATTAATCAGTAAAAGGAAATTGGCTATTTGATGGTTATTGAACGATATCCGATCATCAATATACCTGAAGATAAAAAGCCTCTTTGCCAATTTACTTTGTTTTGACTTTGCCAATCTGAGGAGAAATTTCCGATTTATATGCATGAAGAAACAGATCAGCAAAAGGGGAACACAAATGGTGGCCATAGGCCAAATTCCTGCCTAAATGTCTCACCAAAACAATTTACAAAAACGTTATGATTTCACAAATTTGGTTTCTCAGTAAACTTCAGATGACATTTGTTTTCATGTTTGACAAATTTTCCTGAACCTCAGAAAATAGAGATGTAACTGTTTTACCATGCTTTGTAACAAAAGCCCCATGGGTCAGCATTCATAATGATCGTGAAGCATGTCATCAGTGCATACAAAATCCCTACATATGCTAAAAAAAACGTATTGTCTTTTGCAGAATAAAATGACATCATATCCCTTCAGCGAATCCAGGGAAACGAACATACTATAATGAACTTGGTCAATAAAAATTTGAAATTTGAGATAAAACATCACAGGACATGATGATTTACCGATTAAATTGTATATCTAACTTGCATTGTTTTTATATGATTAAGATTACCGTGCGTATTTTCTCAAAAACTAAGCCGGAAGTAGCAACCAGCTGTACACATGTTTCTCGGAATCTACCGGTGATACGATAAAAAAATACGAAATAATATAATTTGTTTTGATACATGAGCAGAAGAATTGTATCTGAAACTATATTTTATCAGGAATAATTTATTCCAATATCATGTTATTTTAGTTGCAGCTTTACTATTATCTATATATATGTGATATAAATTATTAACCATAAAGCGTAGCACTTTGGTACAGCTGATCGCTATTCCCGGATATGTTTTTTGTATGGAACGATTTGACCAATCACCGTCGATGCTCCCGCGCCCGCGATAGCTAAAACCTTTTGTTGACATATAATAGTCAAACTACAACAAATATGACTTTCAGCAAGTCAATGTATTGCATTTATGATATATATATCCATTCTCTATCCACTAAAGTTTGTTTCAAGGCGTCAATAGCGGTAACATGACCGTGGTTGCTGTAAATAACGGTTAGTTGTGCGATCTCCTGATCACTTCAAATATAATTTCGCCGAAATGAGCTGAAACAATATTGAATGAAATTTTGAATAAAATTAATAAAATAGAATACAAACTTAAGTTCAGATATATAATGAACTCTTTTTACAACCACTACAGTGTAATTACATGATTAATTTGCGTTTTTCAGTGCGGACTTGTTGTACGCAATGTTAAGTAGTTTGGAATGGTTAAGTGACGTTGTGAGGTTGTGATGATGCCATAGAGGATTAACCACTGTGTTCGGTTGTTACCAAAAAATATACACACAAGTGATTAATCTGCCACGATTAGAACGACGCTTTGTCGAGTTCTAATCGTGGTAGATTAATCACGAGTGTGTAGATATTTCGGTAACAACCGAACACAGTGGTTAATCTTTTTTCTCCCATAACAATACGCCATAAAAAGTCGAGCTCGTAGTTGAAGATTTCCCGTGTTTAGTAACCACTCAGGATACCCCCAGCCTCGATTTTGAATATGTTCAGTAAGACAACTGTACCATAAACAGGCAAAATGGATCTAGCGAAGGCAACTCACACGAGTTTTCCGTGACAGGCAAGCCACTTGTTAGCCTTCATGTTATGTTTTTTGTTAACAATTAAAAGTTGATGGGAGGAACGTTTTCAGAATTATTAATGTGATTTGATATTTGTTGATGGCTTTGGATTACTCGGCCCCTAACTTTATTTACATTCGTCTTGCCGTGACTATCAATCTCAATGCACAACACTAAATAGGCAGTGATAGGTTCACCTTTTGAGTGTATGTAAATACATTATTCGTTTATTTGTCCGTTAGAAACTAATGTAATAAACCCCAATATGAAGAAATTAAATATTGTCTTTTTTGTAACATAATGTTAACAGAAAACAAGGGCCATAGGAACTGTCAGCAGGATTGATCAGGCAAGATTCTATTAACTCAGGCAACTGATCAGCTGATTACTGCTAGGTAAATCTCCTCAACTCCATCAATGAATTGCAATATTTTTGAACGAATTTTCGTCTTCAAAATGAACTTTACAGTGAATAATCTAATATGTAAAATTATGATGACTTCATATGTTGTCTTTTTTATATTTATTTTTTTGTTCCTGAACATGGTGAGCAAAAAGAAATTATTTACTAATTCAGTGGATAATGTTTCTTTTGACCATAATATTTAACATCATATCACAAAAAAATGTTACTTATGTTAAATGAGTTATCTACTTTTCCCATATTTGAGTATGACTCAATGTGAATTTGACAAGGACAATACTTTATTGTGTGTGAAACATAAGTACATAGGATATATGCAAACAATAAATTATCATTTCAATAACTATACAAACATTTTAATACCCTTGTAATATTACGTTGTTATTTTACTGCTACAGTTACATCCAAACTTTTGTTCTTTCTTTTTGTTTTATCAGATTATAAATTAAGAATTACTGATAATAGGTATTTAAAATTTAACATGTTTATTATCATGAAAACAAGACTCATAATAAATATATATTTAGTGACCTGTTCATATGTGATTTTTTTGTAAAAAGAATTTAATTTTAAATTTGTCATTGCTTATGTTAAGAAATTAGGTTAATGGTAAATGTTATAAGATCACCTCTTGTTGGTCGTTTCTTCATCATCCATAAATTTGAGTTTTTCTTTACTTACCAAGTTCTGAAAATTTACACATTACACATTAGAATAAATTAAGGTCTGTGATTAAAATAGTGACACAGCTTTCCACTCTCAGGCAGCCAATAAGATTGTGTGAAAAAAATAAACCACTGTAAACCTTGTAATGGGAGAATAATCCAGGAAAATAACATTTCTTTTTTCTCCATATGTCCAGCTTATCATCCAAAGAAATGCTGAATAATTATCTTTATAATTAAGCTAGCTATGCATATTGGGGTTCTTTATCGTCTATGATAATACAACAGTTGCATTATTAAAGAACTGTTTTTTCAATAAACATGGTAAATAATAAGAAAACCTCTTTGGTTAAAAGAATATACATGTACGTGAGACAAACATAATTCAAATTCCTTTAATCCTCTGTATTGTCTGATAATTCTGAAAAAAATCAGCCTGAGTTTTTACCTGAAAATGATAATATGAAATTAATTTTGAGATGATTCCATCCTATCCAAAATACCAAAAATATTTTAAGATGCATAAATGTAAATCATTATTGAAAATAAAGAATATTGTTTTTGAAAAACATTCCTAATAAGGTTGATTGGTGCCCACCATCTTTATCTTCATCATTTTGTCTGCTCCCTATAAGAAATCAAAATAGCTGAGAAAAAAATATAAATACATAGATCTAGGTACTTCACTTAATACATTCAAGTTTAAACGTAGTATGTTTAAATAATTGAAGTCTTCAAGTTAAAAAAACAAACAAATAATTATAGGCCAAAATGATTGACTTAAATCTGGATAAACTCTAACTGTTGAAAGGGGAAACAACTGCGGTGGTTGCAAAACATCTTGGTTGTGAGATGTTCGGTCTGGCAAAGGTTAATCGTTTAATGCATCAAAAATTGAATATTGCTTTTGAAACAAATTATTGAAGGTGTTTATTTTGTTAAAATATGAAATATAAGACTCGATTATTTTAATATAACTATGAAATAGGTTTTTGACGCTGGGTTACACAAACTGATTTTTGTTTGAGAATGTTTTTGACTTTAAAGCATCAGCTCCTTGTTTGAAAAGATACCAGTGATAGTCCAAAACTCATATTGACAGGCTGCACAATTTCTTTAGTTCTGTGAGATGTAAGAAAATGTGAAGAGTAAATTTGAGGACAACAGACAGCAGGCCATAGCATCTCATACATGTGGTGTGTCCTTTTCTAAGCCATTTACCAAACATAAATAGTCATTAACATGTAGGTTGTAAACATTTGGTGACAGTTGGAACAGATACTCAGATTACAGGAGCCATCATGCATTACAAGTTGCCAGACATGGATCTGAAGACTGATTTGCAATACTTTTATTTTATATTGGCTCGTTTTCTTAATTTTCACATAGTTTCAGCTCCTTCTGAAATCATCTGCCTGAGGCAAGAGAGTTGAATATCACCAAAATATATTTTGTCTATTAGGCATACATACCTTCATCTACATGTTCAATGTCTATATTTTCTGTATTCTCCACAGTGCTGCCTGCTTCTTCGGTCGTTTCTTGCGGGTTGTCTGTGGCAGTACCTGCAAGTTCCTTGTTTTCCCCATCTGGTGCCGTGTCATCGTCATTGTGTTTCACCCTGCGCTTTGGTGGTGTACATCCTCCATGCTCTGTGTGACTTTCATCCGTCTGTCCTTTACGTTTCTCCATCCCATTGATATTCAGTGACTAAGTATATTGTTCTATTTTATATCTCTGAACATTCTTCATTCTTTCCTGTCATCCACCAGTGTCTTTAATCTAAGATGTCATCAAACTCATCATTCTACAACAAAAACGTCTACATGTGTACAACGTTCATCTGTAGGACAGTCCTACACGTGGCCATTTGGTATTGGTGTATAAAGATTGAGAACTCTCTGCCACGCCACTGTAGCTCACCTGGATATGAAGTCAAATCGTTATTTGCTTTCCATATGGTCAAAGTGGTCAATTATTATTTTTCGTATTTTACGAAATAACAGAGACATACATATTAAACACTACACAACAGATGTACCAAATTAAATTAGATGTTTAAATAGCTGAGAAAAAGCCATAAACAATCCCTTTTCCATGTGATTACCAATATGGGGTAACATCAAGATGTTTCTGTGAATATGTTTACAGTGCAATGAAATGCATTGTAAAAGAATTTAACAAAATGGTCAAAGTGCAAATATGAAAATATCAACTATAGCAGTTGACATAACATATACACGTTGGGCCCCACTACCAACTATACATGTATTAAATTACATGACATTTAGAACAATAAGGAGCGGGCAACATATATGGCTTACACAGTGTTGTACTTATTAACGCTACTGTAAGAGACACACATCTAACTACACACTTCTACCAAATTACTTTTTTAACAATAATGTCCGAGTAATATAACATCAATATTGAACAACGGATTCAAATCTCTTGAACAAATTCAGGCATCATTATCATTCAGAAGAATCATGTGAACTTGAAGCGTCATTGGTACTGTGGTTTCTGAGGAGAATATGTTACCAGACGATGTCGTCTCAGGATGCCAGACAAGCAAGCCATGGCATCAGCTCAATTGAAAACAAGATAAGCACATAAAGCAATATATGGCTCACTCTGCAACATCCAGTGGTTTGCGGCCACCATGGGAATTGCAGGCACAGACACAAGCTAGCCACACGCATCGCACAGTGAAGGGGTTGACTCATAAGAGTCATGGAACGGGACAGCCAGAACATTTACTCTGGGCACCACACGAACCAAGTGAGCATTCCGTTTGCACTATCGTTTCAAGCTGTGTTAGGGTGGTGTATGAAAGACACACTGTTTAGAAAGATCACTTTGAAATGAATGACGTAAGGTGACATCAGAATGTGTGAACTAGTTTTATCCACATAGGGCGAGGCCACAATAGTACACCGCCGTATACCCAAGACTTTCGAAGTATATGATAGTATTTTAACATGAACAACTTACAGAGAGACTATCAATGGGATAATATCAGATCCTAATATTTGTTATAAGGGAATGTTTCATTTGTATTGGTATGTATTTTGCATATTTTAACTTTGTGTATTATTTCCACAGGCCTCCGTTCATATAATCTATTAAAAAAATGGCATCTGAATATCTACTTGCCTTGCGTGATTTATTCACAAAACCACTGCAGTTATACGAATATATTGTGCTATGTACACGCTATAATCGAGTTCCTATGCCTCGTGTATATTGATCGGTGACTTCATAAACATAGTGAACATCTCTTTGAAATTTGTGTTAGGATGATAAATGGAGACACACTGTTAAGAACGGACATTTTCAAAGGAATGACGTGTGTAAGGTGACATCAGAGTGTGTCAAGCAGTTCTATCCACATAGGGCGGGGCCACAATAGTACACCGCCGTATACCCAAGACTTTCCAAATTAAACAACAACATTAAGATAGCAGCGGACAGAGATAGACCTACCCTAAAAATGGAGACAATGTGGGAGTATATGATAGTATTAAACATGAACAACTTACAGAGAGATTATCACTTTGTGCGGGCGGTCCTCCCGTCTGTACAACCAGTAAGTAACCAGTGTTTTGCTTTCGTTGTCAAGTAGGTAGGGGAAGCAACTCGTACAGTAACAGTCTATTTTAGATCCATGCACACACCCCTTCTATACAGAACAGGTTCAAAACCCCTGGCTTTAAAATGACATGTTTGTTTGGATAATTCGCCTCATGTTCTGTTTCTCATTAAGTTACCTTTCTCTGGCGCATGTTAACCTAATCTGTACATACTGCTACTATTAGGGGTAGCTGTATATTAAGGGTCTGGGTGTGAGACCAATTCGAGTGACTCAAGTGCCATACTTACCACACAATACAATACACCCAGTAAAGTGAAAAATCCATTTTAGGTCATTTGTTTATTTCCTGTAAGGTATGAATAACTATCACAAATTGAGGCACAAGCCATAGGTTTCAAGAGTCATATTTACAGTAAAGAATCCATGGAAGATGAGGTAGACAATTCCTTATTTCTTCCGACAAAAAAAATGTTAGGACTTAATTTCTATTTGAAATAAACTTGAAATAACGAGACAGAAACTAAATTAATTGAAAGTACGAGATAAGAATCGAAATTTGGCGTTTAGGAGATTAATTTGAAATCACAGGAAAATATTCAAAGTAATGAGAGTGAGTGAGTGAGTGAGTGAGTGAGTGAGTATGGTTTTACGCCACTTTTAGCAATATTTTAGCAATATTCCAGCAATATCACGGCGGGGGACACCAGAAATGGACTTCACACATTGTACCCATGTCGGGAATCGAACCCGGGTCTTCGGCGTGATGAGCGAACTCTCTAATCACTAGGCTACCTGAGCGCCCCCAAAGTAACGAGAAAAAACACAACATTTCGTGAAAATAACTTAATTTATGAGAAATTTCGATTTCGAAAATTACATTAATGCTACCAAAGTGACACCGTCGGCTTTCATATGCAGGTCTTTGACGTTCACCACTTTTGTGAAACCCAAGAGCACGGATAGGGTGCTGAAAATCCTGGAAACATAATCCGAGCGAACCGTAAATCGAATCCAGGATCATAGGGGCGCAACTCTGCACAGCGAATTGCGGTGCCTCTGGCGACTGGCTCAGAAGAGTGATGGACTGTCCATACTTTTGGATCATCCGAAACAGTGTCTTCAAGCTAGTGTTGATGTCGGTGTGAATGTCTCCCCTACTGCTGACTCCCCTCCGTCGCAACTAGAGTATTTGTCAATGGTTCGCTTTCCAGTCTTCACCAGATGATTCTGGCTATGTAGTCACCAATTTAAAATGCCAAGTCATTTTAAAAATGACAGCCACTTAACAAACTCTAAAATATTGTGAAATACTCATGTGTTTATTTCCACACCAGGTCTGGACAAACGCAGATCACCACAAAACATAAATTAAAACATAAATGCACGAGAAATGTCAGTCTTAAATACTTACTGAAACAGATTCCATAGGGAGTTTAAGTCAGGTGAGCTAATAACAGATCTTCTTGACAACACTCTCGTGTGTATTGATCGGTTACTATACAAATAAAATGAAAACACCCTCACAAGCTATGTTAGGATGGTATATGTAAGACACACTGTTTAGAATGGACAAATGAATGATGTGTGTAAGGTGACATCAGAGTGTGTCAAGCAGTTCTATCCACATAGGGCGGGGCCACAATAGTACACCGCCTTTTACCCAAGACTTTCCAAATTAAACAACAACATTAAGATAGCAGCGGACAGAGATAGACCTACCCTAAAAATGGAGACAATGTGGGAGTATATGATAGTATTAAACATGAACAACTTACAGAGAGATTATCACTTTGTGCGGGCAGTCCTCCCGTCTGTACAACCAGTAAGTAACCAGTGTTTTGCTTTCGTTGTCAAGTAGGTAGGGGAAGCAACTCGTACAGTAACAGTCTATTTTAGATCCATGCACACACCCCTTCTATACAGAACAGGTTCAATACCCCTGGCTTTAAAATGACATGTTTGTTTGGATAATTCGCCTCATGTTCTGTTTCTTATTAAGTTACCTTTCTCTGGCGCATGTTAACCTAATCTGTACATACTGCTACTATTAGGGGTAGCTGTATATTAAGGGTCTGGGTGTGAGACCAATTCGAGTGACTCAAGTGCCATACTTACCACACAATACAATACACCCAGTAAAGTGAAAAATCCATTTTAGGTCATTTGTTTATTTCCTGTTAGGTATGAATAACTACCACAAATTGAGGCACAAGCCATAGGTTTCAAGAGTCATATTTACAGTAAAGAATCCATGGAAGATGAGGTAGACAATTCCTTATTTCTTCCGACAAAACAATGTTAGGACTTAATTTCTATTTGAAATAAACTTGAAATAACGAGACAGAAACTAAAATAATCGAAAGTACGAGATAAGAATCGAAATTTGGCGTTTAGGAGATTAATTTGAAATCAAAGGAAAATATTCAAAGTAATAAGAGTGAGTGAGTGAGTGAGTGAGTATGGTTTAACGCCACTTTTAGCAATATTTTAGCAATCTTCCAGCAATATCACGGCGAGGGACACCAGAAATGGACTTCACACATTGTACCCATGTCGGGAATCGAACCCGGGTCTTCGGCGTCATGAGCGAACTCTCTAATCACTAGGCTACCTGAGCGCCCCCAAAGTAACGAGAAAAAACACAACATTTCGTGAAAATAACTTAATTTATGAGAAATTTCGATTTCGAAAATTACATTAATGCTACCAAAGTGACACCGTCGGCTTTCATATGCAGGTCTTTGACGTTCACCACTTTTGTGAAACCCAAGAGCACGGATAGGGTGCTGAAAATCCTGGAAACATAATCCGAGCGAACCGTAAATCGAATCCAGGATCATAGGGGCGCAACTCTGCACAGCGAATTGCGGTGCCTCTGGCGACTGGCTCAGAAGAGTGATGGACTGTCCATACTGTTGGATCATCCGAAACAGTGTCTTCAAGCTAGTGTTGATGTCGGTGTGAATGTCTCCCCTACTGCTGACTCCCCTCCGTCGCAACTAGAGTATTTGTCAATGGTTCGCTTTCCAGTCTTCACCAGATGATTCTGGCTATGTAGTCACCAATTTAAAATGCCAAGTCATTTTAAAAATGACAGCCACTTAACAAACTCTAAAATATTGTGAAATACTTATGTGTTTATTTCCACACCAGGTCTGGACAAACGCAGATCACCACAAAACATAAATTAAAACATAAATGCACGAGAAATG